ACTTATCACTGCAATACTACTGCGTTCTGTATACGACAGCTGGTTATTATTTTTTTGTATTGACGCAAAGGGCAGGCATGGTGGGATTATAAACTTCTGGATTAATCTAATATGAAATCACGACATCCTCGACCTACAGTGTTTCAAGGTTACATTGCCGCCTCATACATTTCTTAGAAAGTTCTTGTCCATCATTCCATATGACATTAAAGCAAATTTTGCAAAGGAACTAGTTTGGCAAATTGAGCGGATGAATACGTCACTATATGCAGACGACCACTTTTTTACTTCCATTCGCAGGTTGTACGGCATACTTTGGAATGTATCTAATCCGCTTCCTTTGTTTGTCCCAGAAGATGATGTTACCACTGCGCTAGCATAGGCGAATGATGAAAAATCGAGTTATGTCTCACTGTAGGAATGGGAAACCCTACAGAAGCTCAATATTTAAGTGTTATTAATGGAACGTCACTGGATCATCTCATATAAAAACACTGCTTCCTGTTTTTCACTTTTTCCACCAAGATTTTTTCAAAGGCCTGACTTTGACTTATCTTATTTAAAAATCATGTATTTAGTGGGACATTTGTCCAAGCTGGACTTTTTATGTCCTGTTGTCAAAGACGCACGTTTGTATTGACTCTTTGCTTGGCCCTGTCTTTGCTGCATGCCTCCTCTCTTTTATTATTTCTAACAAATTGTCTTGGCAGTCTCAACCAGATGTGAAAAACTGTTCAATTTGCGGAGTACAAATGGTTCTATCAGAGGAGTTGGCAGCACAGAGATGCAGCCAGGATCCATTGTTGTGATTTGTATATGCATTCAGTCATTACAGAGGCTCAGCCTGCCCCTAATGAGAAGTTTTAATGAGACTGTCTCCATGGACCAGTGACCAGGGCTGTGGCCTCAGATGGATTATGAAATCTCTTATTTCCTGTTCCCAGTGTGGGAGGGCTTTTTCCCCATTATTGCTCTGTACAAATGCCTGCAGAATCCTTTATCAAGGTGCACTTTCCACAGCTGTGTCACAGACTGGATGGAGGTGGTTTCCAATGGCAGATGGATTTAATAACACATTCGTCTGTTCGGATGCTAGGATAGCTCCATTTTTAATTGATAAACTTTTAGTTTTTAAACCACACATCATTTATCAGATGTAATTGTCTGCTTCCACACTATCAGTGAAATAAAAATCCAAAATTGTCCTGCTTAGAAATGAAATCATGAATATGATTAGCTGTGGCAATTTTATATATTTTTTTCCTTTCTTTTTTTTTTTTTTGATGCATCGTGATTAAATTTTGAACAATTTTAAATTTATTCAGAAAAATCCATAATCAATACAAACTCAATAACTAGCCTCTTTTGTCTAATGTGACATACCAGGTTCAGTTAACAGCTGAACTGGCACCACAGCTCAACAACTGGCGCCCCCTATCTTAAAAGCTGATGTGTGGCAGCATTTCAGATTTTACAAAGTAAAGAGAGTATTTGAGATGCAACATATACTTCAAGTTCCAGTCTAAGATGATTCAATGAAATATTTATCATAAAGTGACATCACAACATCTACTAGAGAAATATGTGTCTGACTTGACAAGTTTTCAGAAGGCAGTCAAAGATACGACAAACTAAAATATTAGCATACGAACTTTAAGATTTAATGTAAGAAAATTAGCATTCTTTTGCGAAGCCAAGTCTGTCCTGAAGAATGAAAACACTGATCAGTGTTATCGTGTTAACTGCTAATATAATTAGTTGACATTTTGATAATGAGCTCAGTGGAATTTCTATCTTGCTTTACAAAGGCTTCCTGTAAGCAAAAGGTCAGCAGATTAGAGGAAATTAAACGACTTGTGCTCACTTGTTTTCCTGCATCATTAGTTTTTTTTAATGTCTTTTAACGAGCCAATCTTTCAACAAACCGGCGACAACTTCTCCACACCTTGGTGCCGTTCAGAATGCATGTTCAATTCTCCACATTTGATTGATTTTCTCGGTCAAATAATTACCTTCGCTCTGGGTTTATAATAGAAAATCCTGTCATCGGTGTTGTCGAGTCCAAGCCTCAGCGGTTTTGTTGGGGAGGCTGTTTTTGGATTTTTTTTTATTTTTTTTTATCAGTTTGAGTTTTTTTCTTTCTTTCTTTTTTTAAATCCTCTTTGTTTGAGAAAGCCTTCTGGAGTCAGAGTTGGCAAAACAATGTTTATGCTGTACATTTTCCCGTGCAGGAAGTCTTTGTTTCTCTCCAGCAGGGGGCCACAACCTATGGCTCCTGAGCCACATGTGGCTCTTAGGCCTATCTGATTTTGATTATTATTAAAATTGTATTTGTTTGCAAATAGATTAAATAAACCTGATTGAGCTCAATAAAACAATAAAAAAAACAACCAGTACATTACAGATAGTGTATAGTATATATACTGTATTTCCTCAGTACATTACAGTGTATAGTATATATACTGTATTTCCTTATATATTTCCTTTTATTTTCTATTGTTTTTTTTACAAAACTAAACCACAATAATTTCATTAGGAAAATGACATATTCTTCTATTTTTACATCTTTGTTTCTGAAGATTAAAAAGAAGAAACAAAGGCTGTCAGATTAAAGGCTTAACCGTAATAATTAATTAGTCAAATGAATCACGTTACAAATCCAAACACATTTCTTGACTGAAAATTGTATTATTATTATTTTTTTACTTTTTATTTTAAAACATTATGGTTGTGTGAATAAGACTCCATTTCCAGTGGAAAAATACCAAAAGAAATGAAAGTCGCTTTCTCAGTTGAGCGATGTTAGACACCGAACGGTGCAACAATAGGAAAGTGCTCTAATTCTCACTGCACAGACGGCCTTCAGACGTTCAAGGGAATGATTCATCGCCTCTTCACACAGAGTAAATAATTCCATGCAGCTTAGTTTCAGACCAATCAAGTCTTGTATTGATCGCTCGTGTAATTATCACCCGGTATTTTTGTGTCAGCCAATCCCACCTCAGGAATGAATAATTACTCCTGACATCTCTCTTTCTGAGGCGAGACAAAGACATAAAAAAAGTGACTTTTTTATTCTTCATGCGCTGTAGAGTCCAACCTCCTCATGTTCTGCTTTCAGTTCTTCAATGACTGTTACAGAACAGAGCAGAACGTTTCACCTTCACGAGTATGAAACCTAACTCTCGGCATCAGAATATTGACTCAGCAGACACTGATTAGTGCACATGCCTGCGGTCGATTGTGAGGGAAAATTAAGCCTCACAATAAATTCAATTCATTCGGTGCCTTTGAAGTAAATGACGCACCAATGATCATCAACAAAAATTGAAAATTGATTGGACTTTGTTGCTCTGGTGATTAGAACTAGGATTCTAACTCACAACTGGTCTGGACCTTAACGTGGAATCCTTGGAGTCGGAGTTGGGGGAGGTGAGGCGGGGGTCAACCAAACAGATCGGTCTCACATTGATGTTAAAACAATAGTTTTCGGTTCACAATGGAACAAAAACTGTTTCAATGGATTTTTTTATCTTTTTTCTTTTCCAAACCAATGTGTTTTTATAACGATTAGGCCAGTAGGTGGCGATAAGGTGTACACTAGTGACTGGCGGTCAGGGGCTGAATCTGACCCGTTGAACCACCCAGTCAGGACTGCAACTGGATTTCAAAACAAACATGAAATAATAATTGTAAAAAAAAAAAGTATTTCTATTCCTCCGACATATACGACTGCTGACCCCTGGTGTTTACTTTTGATATAGTGTTGCTTTTTTGCTTTATTGTCCTCAGAACCAAACCAGATCTGCATGTGTTCAACAGTTTGAAGAGCTTTGCATCTGTGACCGTGTTAATTGATTGATTACTGTAGTGTTGACCTTTTGTGACTAGGAAGGATTGGACTTTATGGGTATTACTGCAGTATTAACAGGTGTGCACAAAAGATCGAGTACTTTGAAAAACCACTGAAAAGGAAATCATCCTCACCACTTTGACTGATTACTAGTAAATGGACCTGTGTGTACTGTAAACAGAGACCCCACTGCTGTAATGATCTGCAGGAACATCTGCTCCATTTGGACGGTTTATTTTAACTCAGACTCAGACTGACAGAAGAACAATAGAAGAAGAAGAGATGTCGAAATCTGCTGCTTGTTTTATGAATCATACAAAAGGAAAAGGGTGAAAATGAGTTTTGGAGTTCAATAAAAAAGGCAGTAATTGCATCCACAGTGTGGGCCGGAACTCACGCAGCGCCACCATGGTGATGTAGACCGAGTGTAGGCCGCATAATTCGACCTTTTCAATTTCAACATCATGACAAGACTCACTTAATTAAGAAAATAATTATGAACATTGTTTGAATGACATGATCTACACACACACACACACACACACACGAGTGGCTGATATTCTAAATGACACCACAGCACCTCCACCTGTGCTCCAGCTGCAGCCCTCCACTCTCAGCTCCAACCACGGTCTGGTGCATCTGTACAGCGTAAGCAGCAAATATCAAGGAAGGCTAAGAATAGCATGAATGCTTGAAAGCGCTAATCAGACGGGACAACAGTGTCAGAGCAATTCATCCAACCATGAACACCGGTGTACACACACACACACACACTGCTGCGGCCGACAAGGTTCCTGTGCTGCTCTAAAAAAAGAAGCGTACTGTTCAAATGGATGTCCGAGGTTCTGATCAAAGCCACCTGCTCCTTCTATGATAATTAACACCACTGCATAATTAGAATTAAACTGAAGTCCCACTGTCGGGAAATACACAGTGTGATTCTTTGCAACAGACACAGGCTGCCACAGGAGGCGCCGTTAAGTATGTAGTTCTGTAGCTGCTCTGGGGCTTGAACCCTCTGCGTGTAAGGCAGATGTATAAAGCAGGCGTGGTAATGTTAAGCAGAGATTAGCATGATCATGATCAAACTGTCCAGGTTTCAAACCCTCCTCCCTGCCCAGACCTGGCCTGTTGTGAAGAATCTTACCTTCTGTCTGATCTCCTCCTCCATTTTAACAGGAGATCCCAGCTCAGCAACCTGTTTCACTCCATCACTGGCGAAGCCGCCGTACTCCCACAGCACATAGTTTTTAGAGTGGGACGAACCAATAATGGCCGACCAGTGATTCGCACGCCCTGACAATAAAGAGAGAAAAACAAAATAATCCGTTTAAGCACTTGATTTTTTTCCCCCTTCAAAACACAGGATCTCAGTGGAATCAATCACCTGAGGTTGAAAATGAATATATCCTGATATACCATAAACATGCCAGAGTGATTTCCCTGTCGGTGTGAGCGTCCCATATGGCTGTATTACCGTCTTACGTTCATATTATCCCCCTGCCTTCTACAACATTATGTGTTTGGAGTGAGATAATGTCCTGATTCATCAGCCGGGAAACAGACTGATGATTTTACAGCTGCCATAAACATAAAACATACACTTTCCATGCGGGTAGATGTCCCATCTCCAGTGAAAAGACATCAAAGTCTGTAATTAGGCTAAAAGATTGCTGGAATTTTACAGTCAACACAGTCTTTTACATTTACAACATCACTTTCCTACATGGTTATATAGCTCTTAAACCAAAGTGGGGTTGAGGCCAACAGTCCATGGTATTGGTGTAGGCCACATCAGTGAGGATTAATTAATTTAACCTGCAGCTCTGGGATGGATCAGCTTTAGCGTCAGTTGTAAACATGCAGTACAGGGCCGTTAGGAGGAGTACTAATTGTCGCAGTACTGGTCTCTCTGGGAACTGGAATTGTGAAGTGATCATTTCTAGTGATGGGAATTCACGCTATTTTAAGAGAGACGGCTGTTATGGCTCGGCTCACTGAAAAGATCCAGCTCTTTTAGCTCAAAAATGCTTAAAATAATTTCATTTAAAAAAAATGAAAATGTTGTGTAAAATGAATTACTAAGGTACAAAATATACATTATATTAAATGGTCTTTGTGTATAAAAACAACTATTACCAATCTCTCAAAAATGTTATTTGTGTATATAAAAACAACTATTACCAATCTCTCATTGTATGTACTGTATATTTATAAACTTGTGTAAACTTGCATATGTGACCCACATAGCTGGACTTTTCTGGCTAACAGGAAGTGCCCTTGGCAAAGTGTAATCTGGTTGTCACCTAAAACGACCCATATTTGGGCCTGTTTAGTCTTTTCAATGACTTTGGTCTGACGTGTCATGGTGTTGCCAAGTGGAAACAGGACGAATCGCAGCAGATCACATATATTTATGCGTTAATGCAGGGCACAATAAAAGGGTAAACCCTGCCAGATTAGGGCAGTTATGGTGTCTCCCTAAGGATAAAGGATAAACCAGAAAAATATAGGGTTTAAGAAGGACATGCTAACTGATGCCGCGATAGCATTGAGTAGTAGCTGTAGGCTACCATGAGAAACCAAAAAAAAGCTTTTAGCGACTTTGAAATTAGCCAGCTAGCTAAACATATCTGTGGTACACATCTGGAAGTGCTTGCCTGGTTTTGGAAGTGGAACGTAGTCTTTGACAAAATCAAGGCTACTATTCACTGGATTTGTGGTGTCAGTAAACAACTCGGTCCAACTGGCTAACTGCAAGTCCAACTTCCAGTTGTAAATAATGCAGGTCTGTAATGGACTGATTCAGAAAACTGATTTTTATTCTTTTATTTTTTCAAATGTTTTGGTTCAGACTTTGGGTCAGACTCCATACACTGTGTACAACCTACTTTTTATTCTTTTATTTACACTGTGTACAACCTCGGAACCATTTTTCTACTGACTTCTGTTCATGTAGAGTTACTTTAAATCACTGTCTGTTAGCATCAACAGTAATAACTGAGCTCTGTCTGTAATGAGGATTTTAAAGGTCACGTCATTAAGTTTTAATTGTAGGTCATTTGTCCTTAAAAGAAAATGTATTGTTGCATATATTTTCAGGTTAGTCTGGTCCGGTTGCGTACGGCATCTTTCTCGTGTAACTATTTTTTTCTGCTGCTCTCTTCTGCATCAATACTAAAATGTTCGCATGTTCGGCTAGAACTACGTACACGGACGGAAGAGAAAAGGAAGAATGGGAAGAGAACCGTCAAGGTTATCAGCACTAGCTTAGCTATTTGGCCCATTTTGCTGGAAAATTTGGGGTCTTAGAAATGTGTGTCTCAGAACTGGTCAATGGCTGCTGCACATTTAGGACGTCTGCTAAAAATAGAATAATGACATGCAAAAGAGTGGCAAATGTTTGGGAACAGAAAAGGGCAAACTCTGGTTTGGAGCACTGGACCAAGAGCTGCTTTCTGGACCCGTTTGAATCTGGGTTTTATGTAGTAATGAACGTTAACAACATGCAGTTAAATCTGGGCAGGTTAATCATGACTAGTTACCTAGTGGATGACATTGAACAAGGTGAAGCCTATCTTTAGAGTCCAACAAATCAGATGAGACAGTGAGCTCTCGCTTTGTTCTGTTCTCTTCTATGTTAATCCACCTGCTGTGTCTGTGTCTGTGTGTAATCCTGGCAAAATGATACTGGAGGGACATCTTTAGGGACAATATTATCATTGTGGTGTGACTTTGTCCCCGTGAGGACATTTTTGGTGGTCCCTGCTGGGTGGGAGATTCTTTTGAGTTTCAAGATTTAGTCTTAGATTGAGTTGGGGTAAGAATTAGGGTATAACATAGTTAAAGTTTGGGTAAGGGCTGAAGAACCAGTGTGTGTGTCACAAACTGACTCCTCCTACACCACGCAGTAAATTAGGGTTTTCTCTTCGATCTCGGGGTTTATCTTACTCCACTCTAAACACTTTATTGATCCAACAGGCAACGGCCTGATTTAGACAAGAGAGCCAGAGTAATCCTGGAGTCCATTCAGATCCCAGCAGTTTATCTCAAGGTTATACGGACATCACGTCCCAGTAGCAGCGGTGCTTAGCAGCCATGAGGCTAAACCAGGCAAGTGGGAAAAACCATTGGCATTTCCTACGCACTGTGACTGCAGGTGAAAAGGAGAGTGTTCAATAAATGATCAAAAACTTTCTAGGTCCTGCAGAGTTTGTATCAGTGTTAACTCCGCCCCTTTTCCCAATTTCTGGAAGATTTGTTGCAGGCATTTATAAAAAGGAAATGCAGAGGAGTGTGTTCTTACGGGGATAGTCCTTAGGATGAATTTTCTCCGACCAGTTCCCGAAAAAGGTGACTCTGTACTTTGCGGTTCCACAGGCGCAGCAGTCGAGCAGAGGTTTCTCCGTAATGTTTCCGTACAGTGACTCTGCAGATAAACGAGAAGATGAGGGAAGAGCAGTGATGAATGGAAATAAGTCAGAGAGAGAGAGAGAGAGAGAGAGAGAGTCCATTAAAGCCGGGACATTGGGATCCTGCGTTTAAGTGTGGGCAGGAAATGAGAGCGGTGGCAATCATGCAGAAGATGGCAGCTTTAACAAAAGAGAAGGGCATTAGGAAAGTAGAAGATTAGTTCATGATGTTGGTCACGCTCATTTGCCATCATTCACATGTCAGAGTGACACAGAGGGCTGTCAGTCACGACACGATGAAGAAACGGGGCAGAAAATAGAAAGAGATGATTGATGTTTAACTCCATACCTTTCTCACACATTCGTTTCGTTAGTGGACCTTCATCCTGAAAATAGATGATTCTCTTCTGCACAATGCTGGCTCTGAAGCAAGAGAAAGACAAGGAGAGAAAGTTGAAAAATGTGTTGGCAGGAATGTTCAAATGTGTCTGTATATATATATATATATATAAATATATATAAAACATGCACAAAAAAATAGTGTCTCTCAGATCAGCCCCTGACCTGCTGAAGAACAGAGAATAAGGACAGATTCTTTTGTGATAATCTTTTTTTCAACACACCCACAAAGTAGGTATGAAAGTCCACAGGGACGTGTCTAAATAGGGCGTTTTTCAGAGGAGGGTGTTCACTGTCTCCACACGAAACCACAAAAGGAACAGCTGCATTAGGCTGCAGTGATACGCTGTATAAGATCAGGTTGGTGGATGGAGAGACGATCACAAACAAAATACAGCAGCACCTAAAAATAGAGGAATAAAGAAAATGTTCCAAAGCTATTCCCAAAGCATCGACTACCACACAGTTCTATAAAAGCTTTGTTCAGCAAAGGGAAGTTTTACCCCCCCCCCCCGCCCACCAAAAAAAAAAAAAACAGTTACAAAAGTGATACATAGTTGAGAAATATAGTTTTACACCTAACAATATTTTACTGTGGATAGCAAAATGTAACTTGGTAAATATACAGTAAATATATATATATGGGCTGTTTAATTAATTAAATTAAATTAATGTTAACATAGTTGAGAAATATAGTTTTACACCTAACAATATTTTACTGTGGATAGCAAAATGTAACTTAGTAAATATATATATATATATGGGCTCTTTAATTAATTAAATTAAATTAATGTTACCCACTCTATCTGAATCTCTTAATTCCACTTTCCATCCACTTTTTTGTTTCTTATTTTCACCTTATACCCAGTCCAAAGCCTTTCTTTCTGGTATGAAAATGATGTGAACATACTGTAGGAAGTCATCGTGGATCTGGGATCTGTGTTTGTCAATGGATAAAACTGAGACCAAGAAAAAATGCCACGCACAATTAGATTCCAATTAGAACTGATGTCGTCATATAAACAGGTAGAACAATAAAGTGCAAGAGCCAATCAGAGGTACATTTGCTGCGTATAAGGCGGGACATATAAAAGTATATTGAAACACAGCATATATTTGTCTGGGTGTAGAATAAGAAGAATACTTTTTTCTGGATATGTTTTCCATATTAACTCCATCATTTGGATTAGTCACAAATAAAAACAAAAACTACATTCACGCACATATACACACGTTTAACCTTTGACCACTGCTGAAAACAAGTTTTTCTGGATATTTTTTCCATATTAACCTTTGACCACTGCTGAAAACAAGTGAACATTTCAGTTGAAACCTGCAGCCCTCTGTTAACAAGCCAGTCCTCCGACCACTGGACCACAGCGACTGTGTTTTTCTCTTGGACACGCCCCCTTTACATGTCACACATTTTCATTTAAGAAATTATAATGGTGGTGTAAAAGCGAGTGTGGAGGAGGAGGGTAGGAGGTTCACAATTATACTCTGGGGGTGAGGAAAGTGCAGGGGAGGGTAAGAGCGGGGTGAGGGACACGAGACCACACGCACATCTTTAATTGTTCACACTTTAATTCAATCTCACCCCAATTTCTCATATCTACAGGCACAGCGCCTCACTGCCTGCTCACTTCACACGGCCAGCCAGACAATCAAGTGGAGTAATGCTTATTTAACATCCAATTTAAATTCTATCTCACTTCACCGGATCCATGCCATCACCGATCCCAATCAAGCCAAGAGTGCACACTGTGTGTGCGTGTGTGTGTGCGCGTGTGGTTTAAAGAATAGGAGGTGAAAAAAGTCATTAAAGGAGCACAAAACTGATGCTTTTGTTCGTTTTGTTTCATCTATTTAAGCCTCAGTTATTCCCATCTGCTTCTTCAATAACTTAAATTAAATTAAAATACATTTTCATCCTACTATTTTTTTGGCTAATCAATAACAAGCTTTTTTTTTTTAAATTGCCTCAATTATTTATTTTTTTCTGTTTTTTTTGCCTACTCAATAACAAGCTTTTTTTTTAATTGCCTCAATTATTTATTTTTTTCTGTAACCAGTATTCCATCCTTCAGTCCGTCTGACTCGGTCCAGTCGTTATGCCAACAATAGTTGTTTGTGTCACTAAACACACCGCCCTGACAGCCGACACTGTGACATTCATCTGATCACCAATACACTGTTTCACGGTGATAAGACATCAAAGCACCACTGCGCTGTCCTCACCATCAAACGCCAGAGGGAAATGACAAATAAATTGCTTCCCGTGTACAAATGGAAAGATAAAAGAGAAAAGCCGCAACGGTGACTACACCATGTGACGTGAGTCCGCCGGCTCTGTGGGCAGAGGAAAACACACCGGGGTCTGAATGAAGAGTGCGGCCCACAGGAGTGTGTCCGCAGGTGCCATCTGGGGTTCCATGCTCCATTCACTAACTTTAGGCAGGATGTCTAAATGCCCCTGGGCCACATGCAGCCCCCAGACCACCTCGGATTGGCCCGGTCATATTCATTTAAAAACATGATGTGAGTAATCAGAAATACAAAGGACAAAATTGGAATTCGACACATGCCATAGCCTAGCAACCTGCAGCCCACATCACCACATGTCCGCAGGAGCTGTGTCCATACAACAACAGGCCTCTCAAAACAAAGAAATGTGAAATTATCTGTGGAAATCATCTGCGTTTGTTTATTCACAAACTTCAGGCTAATTTGAATATATTTTAATGTGTATTGACGTAGTGGAAACCTTCACTACTTTTCAACATATCCATATGTTTTGGTCCAAATTTGCGGTACCCTCTAGGTTCTTAGTCACAGGAAAGGTCTGGCATCTGAATTTATTTGGTTGAAAATCTGCCCCGACGAAATTACTTATTTATAATCCCCACTTTATGGAGTCCTAGACTAGTCCTGGAGGAGATGTGGCCCATTCTAGTGTCAACAACGAACTGAGATGAAAGATGAAGAAGGAGATGACAAAGAAGAATTTATGAAAAGGTGTAGAAGAAAGAGAGAAAAACACTAAGAAGTTGAAATAAAAAAATGGGATTTGAATATGACAGGATGACCACTTGACCACTGACCTTTGACCCGTACACACTGTTAGGTATACTGTGTGTACAGATACTATTAATGGGCGATACCATAATTGTTTATGTGTAGAATTTTTGATTCGACTTGATTTTACTTTTTTGTCAATTTTTCAATACAGATATCAATATTGACATGGAATAGTTGAGTTCAATTTAACATGACCTGTATGTAGTAAGTTTCCATAAAAGATGTAGAAGTGACGCATGCACTTTTTTGATTTATTAACTAGTATTGAAACTCGTGAGAATCGATAATCGATAATTCAATAATATATACAGTGTTAATATTTCTATTTCCCGAGACCTAGCACCATCACTTTCTCTGTGTAAGGTGTAATCAGATTTCCTGCTCGCCCTGAATCATTATTTTGTGCAGGAAGGATTTCAACAACAGCCACCAAGCTGTGCACCACTACAGTACACAACAGAAACAGACGGAAAACAAAAAAACAAAAATAAAAAACCTGGCTTGCTGTAAGTGTACCCTTTAAAAACACTACAAATTAGTGCGTGAGACGTTTCCAGTCAAATCTCGTTGAGTCGATCTCTGCCTTGACCCTGTCATCACTCTCTAACCTTTGATGGAGCCCAACCACCAGACTGAGCCTCTCCATCAATTACTGTAGCTGCAGCTGACCACTGGAGCAGAGCAGCACTGCTGGGTCCAGATATGACTCACAGAAACTTTTATACTTGAGAAGCGTGGACTTCTAATTTCAGAGCAGATGTGCTGTTTCTTAATAACCGTGGTGTTTTACAGGGAGACGTTTCCAGGAAATAGAGAGAGAAAAACAGGCTCGTGCTCTGCCTCTGGGGGCCAGGAAATTGTGCTCTTCGGATAAGCTCTAATATAAGCAATCATTTTTTTATTTGTCTACCACATGTACACTGATGCCACAGGCTTTATGATGATGGTTTCTCAGTCTCTGCTTCCAGAAAACACATGGTTGTCCAACTTCTACTCTCCTGGAGATGGAGACTCCATTTTTTTAAACTTTTATTTTCACTATGTCACGTGATTTTCTTCACACGTCATGTGTGAAGATTTAACATTTTTTGGTAACGTAACGGATCTCATCTGCTCATATGAATTATGGTTTTAAGCTTCCTTACTTCCACTGGGATAATTTCAACTGTTTTTGTTTGTCCTTGACACTTTTAATTTGTACAATGTGAGAAAATATTTTTTCGAGACAGATCTTATAATTCTTATTATAAGATTTTAATAACCTGAACGTGTTAAGATGTCAAAAGAATATAACAAATATTAAAACTTTTTAAGGTTGGTGCTAATAAATGAATACTCAACTGTATTCTGTACAAGTTTAGCCAGTTTAAATATAAGTTGGAACTGGCTGATGTAATCAAAATATTTATGGCAGATAACATAAATGTCTTTGTTGTTTTATGAACTAAACCTGAGAAATGAAGTATTACTTTTAAATCGTTTCAGGTCAGAGTAATAAAAATTCCTCTTAATGTAGCTCGGCACAATTAAAACAAAATGAAAAACATTCCCAATCACGTTTAGACGTATTCACTGAGATTTATTGGCTTCTTATAACTCATTAAGTCCTGAGATCTCAGTTCGGATCAATAAAAACGGTTTGCTGACAATCACAACAATATTTTAAAAAACATGAAGATAATAACCATGTGTACTCTAATAGAATGAATCCCATTCTACTCAGAACAAACAGAGATGTGCACAAGGAGCAATAAAACTCACTGCCTTCACATACTGCTACAACGACTTAAATTAGAAGTCATATTTTTATTTTCTGTTTCTTCTCTTTATTCTTATTTAGGTACTGCGATAACATTTGGCACATAGTGTAAAGGAGTGTTTGCAAGAAAAATATATTTTCTCCCCACAGTGTGATGAAATAACACATGTAGCTACTCTGTCTTAGAGCCATAGTTGGTGGACAAATCTTAAGGATGATGAGAAAGGGAAGAAGGGTGGGGTGGGGGGAGAAATGTGTTAGCCAAAGTAGAGAAAATTAAATCTCCAGCTTTGCTCCGTGGTCCTTCATCCTTTATGTTGATCCTCTCCTTTCAGCATGTGTCTAAACCATTTTGAGATTACCTCTTTATTTCCAACCACTGAACCTCAACTGTCATTCGCTCATTTATAGTCCTGTCCATTATGGTCACTCCTGATGATTTCTCCATATTAGACGTTTCCACACCACAGTGTGTAACTCCCATTGTACTGGATGAAGAAATCTATTATATGTCACACTGTATACTGTGTAGTGAAAAAAGCAAATCTATTTCACTATACATGTATCAACATATATAGACATATATAGTGAAATAGATTTGCTTTTTTTATTTTTCCAGGATATGAATGATTGTGGAGACCCTGACAGATTGACACTCTAACACCCTGAATCCCCATAACGTACCCCGGGGAGATAAAATCGTTGAGCCTGTTGAGCAGTTACAGGAGATACACTCTTTTTTGAATCAATAAGTCTTTATTAAAACTGTGGTGTTGCTGCTCAGGGGACTACAAACACCTTTATAACATCCAGGGTTAAAGCAACAGCAGCAAACATTAACAGCTCGTCTGCAGTAAGGATTTATACATTTGGCCACCCCTCCCTCCCCTCTCTCCCCCCTTTGTCCCTGGACTGACTTCACTCTCATGTGTCTCTATTCTGCTCGCTCCGGATTTCAATCTGTTCCCTGTTTCTATTTCTATTTCTATTTCTATTCCCTGAGTTCTATTCTGCCATCGGTCTGCTGATGTGAGTCAAACCATGAATTGCTCTAGAAGATGAAAACTAGAGGAAGATAAAAAGGAGGCAGAGTGGGGGGTGGGGGGGGGCTCTGAGGCTGTTGAAAGGCGAGGTCGTGGAGATGAACCGCAGAGATTTGACCAAGGGGAAACGGAGAGCAGAGTGACAAGGAAAATGGATAGTTATCACTCCTCTAAATAAAGGTGGAATAAAACATCGATACGTGTTGTCCGGACTGCCGAGATATAATTATTGATTACTGTCATTCCGGCCACACAGCACGATGACTCCTTGTCATGGCGTTATCACTTCACTGAGGGTGACATGACCGCTCCTGGACAAAAACACTGACGCACGTAGGGGAGGGAGGTTTTTTGTTTGTTTTGTTTTTCAGACATATGTATTAGGGCTGTCAAACTTCTGAAAAAATCTGAAACTTTTTCTATATTGAGACTCAACTCATGCAGGACCAAGGAGCGGACGGCTTTTGGTAGAAGAATAGCCAGAATGTTGAGAGGTCAGGTTTATTAGACAATAGTGAGATCTGCTATGACGTATGGTGCAGAGACAGATAAAAGTCTGATCTGGAGGTGGAGGAGCTGAAGATGCTGAGATCTTCACTGGGAGTTAGTTAGTAAAGGTGGAGCAGTTTGGAGATGAAGTTAGAGAGGAGAGGTGGAGATGGTTTGGTCATGTGCTGAGGAGAAAGAGTGAAGGTATCAGACAAAGGATCTTGGGAATGGATGGAGCTGCCAGAAGAGAGGAGAGGAGGAGAGGAGGAAGACCTCAGAGGAGATCTCGAGATGTTGTCAAAGAGGACAGAGAGACAGTTGGTGTAAAAGCAAAAGGCAGGGGATTGGATGAGATGGAGGCAGATGATCTGCTGTGGTGACCCCTGAAGGGAACAGCCAAAAGATTAAGGATAATAAAATACAGCTCTCAACAATCTGCGTGTGCAATAACATCAATTTCCTTTTTTTTTTTATCTGACTGATTTTTGGAACGATTATCTTGGTGAACTAATTGATTTTGACAGTCCCTATTTTATTACCTTCATTCCACAACTCCCCGCTCTGATCTGTCACATCTAATGAAGACGTCCCTCGGTAGAAAGAAGAAATTCAGCCTCAGCTTTGAATTTATACAACAAAACCCTAGAGACGACGCGTCCATGACGACATTTGTCCAATGAACAGTTGAATCACTGATCATACAGTCTGTTAGTCACAGTGGCACACATGATAAAGCCCTGTTTCCTGTACTGTACTGTTATTTCCCAACAGAGCAGACCAGATTAATCAACAGATTTCTCCCGTTATCAGCCTTCAGTTGCAGGGCCAGAGGAAACGCAGCAGGAAAATTGATTGCTGTCAGTCAGTTGTGTAACTAATAAAGGTAATGAATACTTCATGAAGCCAAGTGGGAATGAAAAATTGATAATGCATTCTGAATTTACCCCTGCTTGGCCTGCAGGGGGTGGGATGTAATGAAACAGAGCTACGGTACACACAGACCTGATATATAGTCGTAGAAAAGCTCGCTGCTCAATTTCCACAGCTGTGGAGCGCTGAGCATTAAATGACTGAACCTCTGGATAAGATAGAGAGTTCTGCAGGAAATGTTTAATTAAAAAGATTTAATTAAAAAGTAAAGGAGCCAATCAGACTGTGTCAACTTCTGTTTTATAATAAAACTAATTGATGGCGGCAGGATTGCTTTAAAACAAAATAAAAAGAATTACTTTATGGAATCTAATCAGCACAAAACAACTGTCTTTTCTATTTTCTGCCTCCCACATTATATACTATAATTTAGTTGAAGCGTTTATCTAAAGTGGAGGCAGGGAGGTTGCAGCAGAAAATTACAGAGACAAATGCAGTTTTACAAAAAAAAAGCCCCATGTAGAGAACAATCTGTTTTGTTCATTGTTGTGGCGCGATAAAAAATAACTGCATGAAAAAAAATCTGTTTTTTTCCTTCAGGCATTGAAACAAAGCCAATTGTCTGTGGCCATTTTAGGTTGGTCATAAATATTTACTTTAACATAATAATGATTTGATGGATTTAAACAACTTCACTTTTACACCCACCGTTTCACCTCAATCTTCATTTTAACAGTTAAATTTAAGTCTTGGAAAAAAGTACAAATTACAATCACACTGTTATCGTTGGGTGTGGAAAAAAAATTGAGAGACAAATATAAAAAAAAGACAAGGTGTAAAGTCAATGAATTCACTTTGATAGGGTCGTCCTGTGGTTAGTGGTTAAAGGAAGTGCCGCTCAGCCCTGTCGTGTGTTAATCAAGCCACTTCGTTCCTATTGCTTGTGTTTTATGGATGGGTCAAATCCAGAGGACAAATTTAGTTGTGAATCTGAACAATGATAAAACGAGGCACTTAAAAAAAAAACTCAAACAACAAAAGTAAGATAGAGTGAGTTTGAGAGAAAGCACTTTTTGCCATTTCTACAGAATATCTGCACAGACAAATCCCTCGGGTGGAAGATCACAGCTATTTCAGCTTTGAGCAGAACTGCCTACACTGCAAATTAAAGAAAAAAGTGTCTAACAGAGAATGGGACAGAGATAAGATAACAACATATACATCATCTGCCACATACTGATGTGGAGTTCACTCACTGAAACACAAATATTCTAACACACACACGGAGGACCACCAATGAAGATTGAGCACCGAGCAGCTCTGGACCAGAGCTTCAAATGATGGTGTAAAGAGACAATTGAATATTTTTATAAAATACTACGACGCTGCTCGGTGAACGGAGAGAGTTGACCGACAAAGTTTTTTTTTAAAGACTGTCGGAAACCTTTTCTGCAGTTGATAAATAGAAACAGACACACAGTACATACACCTGGACAGGTGAACAAGTCAACAGGTAAACACTTATTCTAATGATATCTACTAGAGGTAGTTTGATCCGATACTGAGGATCGGTATCGGTCTGTTATTGGTCAAAATTTCAGGATCAATCATTGGACAAAAAAATCAAACTTCAATCAAACTTTTCGCTACCTGACTTAAACAGGGACAACAGGGAAGTTATTTTATTGATATCGGCATAGGTAGATAATCCAAGTTTCATTATCAGGCACCAAAAAGTGGTATCAAGCCGTCCCTATTATCGGTGGCCTGCATCAACTTAGCCTTAACACATGCTAACTGGAATGTCAAACAGTACTGTGGGGTTTTTTTGTACATACTTTAGATAGATACAGCCAGAACCACTAGGGGGAGCTGTCCAGAACACCTGGATGCTGGTGCGGCGGCGGGGGGTGCTCTCTGTGACAGCCGGAGGGCAGTTGGTCATAAACTGCGTTTCCTCTTCGTCAATGATCTGAAAGAGATCACATACAGATCAGTTGTTAGGAAACGTGACTTCAAAGCTAAAAATCTAGAAGTACTCTGACTGGGAAGTTGTCAAGATAGAAGAAGAGGAGGAGGAAGAGAGAAGATTTATGGACAATGTGAATGAAGACATGACGCAAGATAGTGTTTAAGTAGAGGAGGAGTGAGGAGGACAGAGTTAGTTCACCGAGGCGACCTGTAAGGAGGAGAATTCAAAACAAAAACAAAACCAACTAGAGGAGACCATCACGTTTATACAAGTTGTTCATTTGAGATTTATCAAAAACTCAAATCAACAACTTTTGGGACAAGGCAAAACATACAAAAATATCAACAAATATAAAATAACAGCAGCAGCATCAACCAGTGACAATTTAACCAACATTCATTTCAAATGAAATAGTCATTATTTCATCACTTTTATGTTTTGTTTTGTTTTTTTGTCATTCATTTTGCATCCACAACTTAGTTATATAATCAGTCATGTTTTTCCCTGTTCAAACCACAGATAGATAGATAAAACTTTATTAATCCCTCGGGGGTTTCCTTCAGATACTTGTGCTCTCGTACTTCACTGTAGGTCGTGTGTAACTTACATGGACAGCCTGCAGAAGACTGGAGTAAACAGTGCATAAAAATATTTTTGTGGGTCATACAGAGGAGTCCAGACAAGCGCTGCCATCGCATCACCAGATTTAGACATGAGATACTGAGCTGCATATTGATTTAAACTGGCAAGGAAATTATTAGAGCAGGTTGCAGCCAGCAGGCTAATATTCAGTGTCAGGAGACGGAGGATGTGTTTGATAAAAAGTGACAGAGTGAAGACGGGGAACTCTCTCCCTCCATAAAGCTGTCAGAGGAGAATTTCCTTTGTCATGCCATGATATGAATGACTTCCCACCAAAAGTGAATCGGCGTGTGTGTGTGTGTGTGTCCGTGTCCTTTATTTCTGTTTGATGGATTATCCTAACCCCCTCCCTGATGTTCAGATGGTTTCTAACCGGCTGCCCTGACTGGACTGTTGCGCATGTTAAAACTAATGAAGTCTTATGGGAACACATTAAAGCTGGGCTCTGGAAGTCTGGAAAAGTTAGCAATTGTAGAAGGTTCTTAAGAAAAAAAAAATCGCAGCACACTTTTCTGCCAGTCCTCGTGTTGAAAAATTGTCAGTAGTGGAAATTTTAGCTGCATTTTTCTTCAGCATTTTTCTCTTTGAGATGCACTTCCTGTGAGACAAGAATCTGCCGGAGACCGTCTGTTTCGGAGACCGTCTTCTACTACTCTATTTAAGGGCATGTGGGGACATTTGAGCAACACAGAATCCAACGACCAGTGCAGTAAACTGTGTTATTTTAAAGAAACAACATCATGTGACAATCCCAACACTTCTACGATGCTTTGGTGTTTTCTTCAGCCCAGCAGTTAGCTTCTCTGCTGCTGTCTGCGGAGACAGTCATGTGATTGATCACGAATGAAAGTCTGAAGTTCTGCTCAAACAGACAACAGTATCAGCCTTTTCTCTGTGTGCAGTAGTTTGGTAACTGCGTTGACTTTGTTCCAACCAGGTAACATTTGCCCTTTTTTTTTTTTAGTGTTGTTGAAATTTTTTTATCTCACAAGAGCCCAGCGGCATTGTGGGTTTACACTCCTGCTAACAAGCACATACACATGCACACCCAGAGAGGGACACAGAGATGTCTGACCTCCCCAGAGAGCTCCATAGAAGTCCTTTTCATTAAGTCAGCAGCTATCCTGAGAGGGCGGCGATGTTGCACACCAGCAGATTTCCAATGAGCTGTTTGTTAAATAAAGCCTGCTGTCTCTCAAAAAGCCTGAAAGGCAGCCCACCCAAGACTTCCAGAAGGAGGCACTGTGCACGTTCATGAGTGTGCGTGCGTGTTGATATGTTGATATGAACAGATTGAGACGGCGATGACATTTACTAACACTGAACACTAGCAAATGTGAGGCGAGAGAGAAAATAACTAACCTTAACTTGAAGCAAAATCACTTTTTTATTCCGTCTATAATTTAAAGTCTACAGCAGGTACAATTACTGTTCTCTGGCAAACTTTAAAGAAAAAAATATGTTGAATCTTGAATTTGCAATTTACCTTCACCTGACTTTATCATGCAGAAAATACAAAAACATGTATTGACTGACTAACACCATCATAGAGGAAATGATAGGACGACATCCAAATCGTCTTACCTTTGGTGGAGCTCCTACAATAAAATACCTGTTTTTGATACCAGAAACCTGTTACCAGTTTTGAAAACCAATCTGGATTTATTCTCAGTCTTTTGATTAAACTATAACCCAACCTCTGTGTCAATTTAATCAGTAGAACTTTTTTTTTTAATTTAAGTTTAGTTTTATTCAACAAAAAAAAAAATGACTGAAAATTTGAATTAGGCACGACTGACTGGGTTCCAATTTACGGTATTTTCATGTTCCTAAAATTCACTAAAGTGTTTCATAAAATTTTAATTTATAGCACTTTTTACATTATTATTATTATTTATACCATGGTAATTCAGAGTGGAATAAAATAAAACTTCCCCTGGAATGAAACCAAAACTCTGTTCACTTGAATCATTCAGTTGCTTCTAGCATTTTTACACTAATTAGCAGTTAGCACAGATGAGCAATGTATGATGACTGGAATTGAGCAGCTGGCACTGAGTGAGCTGGTTGGGTTGATTGGGTAAAGCAGGCGAGTGGTTGCCAGTTCAGTATTCAACAAGAACATTTTTCTCAGCGTCCCTTCTGTGTCCTCTTCCGTTGTACTTCTCTTTCCTCTGGCGTCTGTTGTAAGCGTCATTTACATACATATTTAAGTCAAGTGTACCAACTGTTCTGGGTGTATATCTTTGTATATGTCCAAGCTCCCGTGCACATGTCACTCAGTGTCCTCCAAGTGCGCCTCAAAGTGACTCCATGTGACTAAATGATGTAGTGCCCCCCCACCACCCCTCTTGACTCCTGATGTTATGTGTGCCTGTCAGACCACATCAAGCTCTGCTGTATGGTTCAGGTTTAGCTCAAGGCTGGCACTAAATAACAGCAGCATGAAATCAATTGCAAGGGCAAATAAAAGAGGGAAAAAAGCCTCTGAGGCTTCAGGACAGGGTAATGAGACGGAAGGTGCACACAGGACAAAATAAAAATGTTCTTGTTTTCTTTATGTGCTCCCGAACTCAAGGCTCAGGATCGTAGGGAATACCAGCATGACCAGGGCTCAGGGGGGAGGAGGATTCAAGGTAAACTGTAATCTGTGGTTTAGATGAAATAATCTACTATCACGTAAACAAAATCAAATCTGAGAAGAGACAGCTACACACCGTCTCTGAGGGGGGTGAAGTGGGGGATCCACATATTTGTCACCCCCTAGAACAGGCATGAGCAAACTAAGGCCCGGGGGCTGGATGTGTGCCATTCAGTTTTGCAATCTGGCCTGCCAGACTTTTCCCTGCAATACCCACGTTTCCCCAATAGATGGCGTGGAAAATGATAAAAGCATTTTAGCCTTTATGTATGACTTTCACATGTCATTTATCTTAATTCACACGAACCCTCCATCTATCTGCTCCTGACTCCATACATCCCTGTATGTTTCATATTTTCTTTGCAAGAAAATCCTTCCTCCTGCAGCTTTCGTCTCATCATTGTTTAAATTCCAGCCTTGACTGGTAGAAAAACAGACGTTGGCAGACCAGTCAGCTTAAAGACGCAGGACCTTCAGAGGGAAAAATAATCATGATCTTCATCTTAAAGTGATTTCAGGGTAAACTCCTGATCAAAAGCAACATTTACCTGCGATAATGTATTTTAGTCTTTTGTTTCATGACATAATTATTTCATTAATATTTGTTTACACCTCACGAAGACTTTTAAATAAAAATGTCTTCTGCTTCTCGTCTCGGTCCAACAGCACATGTGCAGGAGCCAACAACTAGCGTTCCAAACCATCACTCTTCCTCCTCCTTACTCTTCACTCTGCTCCTGCTGGATCGTCCTCTGTGTGATGCAAATTACTCTCAAACTGTACACTTCCTACAAACATAAATTGCATCTCTGTTGGTGAGAGTCCAACTCCTCACGCTCCACACCAGTACATCACTGTGTGCAGTATGCAGCTGAGCTCAGAGAGTGCTCCCTTCACACCCCGTTCCAGGCCTAATAAAGGAAGTGAGGTGAGAAGAGTCACACTTCCACATGTGAAGACAGAAAGCATGTGAAAAATATTACGGGGAACCGTCAAAATGTACCATAAGACTCCGTCGGTTCTCCTCACACCATCCCGAGTTCTGGGAGGGATTGGTTTTCATCATAAATTTCTGAGGCAGGTGCGTTTAAATATGCTGATGGTACATTACAGGACATGTATTACATCACCCATAAACTGCTGAATATGGAGGTTTTAAATACAGGTGGGAGCGTGTGCACATGCAGGTACTCACACATATGCATGTCTGTGCATACTAGGATGTGTGTGTACTGTATGTGTGTGCGCATCCCTTATTACACCTAGAAAGTATAAGGCATCTTAACAGGCTCCATGATTTAGAATTTAGACTCTTCGTATAGAATGACAATGGTTTATACTCAGTGCCAGGTACTGTACGCATCTGTAGCCTTTTGTTTGTCCTCCGTGGTTGTTATGACGTGAAATTTGGTAGATTTGTAAAGGAAAATCAAAAGAAGGCAGCTGCAGAACAAAAGTAAAAAATGACTGAACCAAAGAGAAAGAGAAAAATTCACCGTCCACCTTTGGCCGAATTTTACATTACAGAAATCCTTTGATGCACTACCAAACAAACATGTCACATATAGTATATGAAATTTAACAGAATGATCTTCTAGTATTCATTTACACAATATTTACTTATCAGTGTGCAACCCGGGCCTGTTTAGTTGAACACCACACTGTATACCTGTATACCTGCAGGGATTGAAGAAAGATGTGTACAAAAACCTTCTTCAACAGCTTTGAGTTTCTCTTCGTTTTAGTTTAGTTCAGTCTTTGTAGCTATCCGCTGCCACATAGTGGAAGAATATTTGATTGTTTTGTCACCGTAGCATAGACAGAGACAAATTATTTGCAAATAACAAAAAATACAAAATATATACTTAATATACTTATAGATTGTAATCAGTATGGCTCGATACAACTTTTTCATGTCCGATACCAATATTGATACTGTAACTTAGAGAATCTGCCGATACCGACATCAATCCGACACTTTCTTTTCTATGCTGCGAGCTGCTGTCCCTGTTCACAGCATGTCGCACAGTTAAATTATCCTGAATAATCAGATCAGGCCGTCCCCAGTTGATAATAATAGTTATTAATAGATAAGTGCACATTTCTTAATGTGAGCCTCATCTGACCAGCTGTGGTGCTGCTCCAAAAGTCAGAGATATATTTTAGTGTATACCACAAGGTGAATCTTACGCTCTACCTTGGATTTGTGGGCTTTTCTCCGCTCAGTAAGAAGCTACTTTTTTTGCCTGATGTCCAGGCCTTAAAGAATGTATCAACATTCAAATCCTCAGCACTTTATTACCTGGAAATTCCCAGCATAGTCCTCGTCACTGTCCCCTTCTGCCCCTTCCTTCAGGGCAATGAGAGTGAATCCTCTGAAGTAGGCAGATCGAGAAGCAGTCACCGTCACTGAAGGGGAACAAACAAAAGAAAAATCAGCCATCAATAGACAGATGGGGAAACCGCTGAAGTACAATCATTCCACACAAGAGGCTTAAATGGGCCTTTCATTTGCCAGAGTTGTTAAGAGCCGCGTTTAAAAATAACTGAACATTTCTTGAACGTGACGGGAGAAATTTGACACTTACTGATGACGTTTTCCTTAAAAAAAATAAAATAAATAATCCAAACCACTTCACCTGCTGCTGAGAATCAGATAACAATAATTATCATGACTCCTTCTGAACCATTGAGCAGAATTTCTACAGAATTTTTTAAGCAGAAGTTTTTCCATAGACTTTGCAAATTCAACCGAGCATAAAAGACTCTCCATTGACTTTGCAGGATATTAAATTTGGCACACTTGACAACTTTATCAGCGTTTGGAGAATTGACTTGAAAATGAATCATTTTGTGAAGATAAGAGTTTTAATTAAAATAATGCAACTTCCCAGCCCCTTGCTTCCTGCTCACACTCTCTCCACTGTTCCTAGGAACCGTTTGTCTGCCTGCCCAACGGTTCTGCTAACCGATTACACAGATGCATTTGCTTCATGATGTGTTTGCGTGATGACACACGCGCCCTTAATTTGATTCAGAGTGTTTACAACCTGGCAGTGAGGCAGAGGCAGTATGCCGAACTTTGATGATGACAAAACAGGGAAATGCCTGGAAATGTTTACCATGAAAACACCACGATTGATCTACGATTAATGTTTAGTCTTTTGTGTGCTAGCCGAGCTTGCAACAGTTCTTTTCTATTGGACTATTCGCTTATCGCAAGAATCCTTTGAATTTTATTCTCCAGTTGGTTGAAGTGTTAAAAGCTGAACTTTGATAATTTCCTGTGCATGTTGACAGTTTTAGTCCAGTCTTTGCAACAGAAAAGTAATTTTTGTTTTGTTTTTTTCAATGTTCAATGTGACCGTTTCGTGATTTATGTTCAAATTCTTGATATTATGTCAGGAAAAGGTTTTGAGAAAAACTGACCATTTGAACATGTAAGTGAATCAGTTGTTTTGGTGCCCAACGGCAGAAGATGGATTTAGATGAATTTCTGTGGCTGTTGTTGGAATGCTTGTCAGAATAGATAGTATGAGGTGGAGATGCCACTTATCCTTCAGCACGGTGCACTGAGCACAACATTACAGCCAAGGTAAACATTTTAATGTGTGTTGAAAAATGATATGTTTCAAAGGGAAAAATCTTCTTGCGAGATAATTTTCAACGTAATACTAGCCTTTTTTGTTATATATATATAAAGACATGTATATTTAATGTTATGTCAAGAAATTCCTCTGAACTACCGTCTTATTTTCTGACAAAACGATTCATAAATTCAACATAATGTGAAAAGTATAAACAAAGTATAATTACTTTGATGAATTTGTAGGGGATGTACAACAGGTGGGACTGTACATGTGTCGATACGTTTTATTTAAAGTAAAAACAGAGCAGTTATAGTTTTAACAACCATGGCAGTGAACACCAACACATATTTGGTCAAAATATTTCAGTCAAGTTAGACCATAGTTCCAGGTTTATAGGTTTTAAGTGTCATAATAAGTTAACCATATACTTATATATTGTATTATACTACTATACTGGTATTTACGGCCACAGTGGTGAGACTCCTGTTTCCAATGCATGTGGTTCCTTATTCGATACCACCCTAATTACCAGGGTGCTTGCGCGTAGACGGCGTATGACGTCAAAGGTGTGCCAAATAATGGCTGTAGTAATGGGCTGTAAGTGATTTTTTTTTTGTCATTCTGCTGTTAAGTACAGTAAAGTTGGAGATTTGTCAAAATAAGACTCTCTCCAAACTTCTCCGAAGTTCCCACAGCCTCCTGAGTCCAGACCGGAGTTGGTTTGTCCAGGCGCACACTGTGCCAACAACCGCGCTGTGCGTAAAACCCAGACAAAGACGGAGAGCCCTCACCTCTGTAGGTGTTCCCCGGCTGGTAGCTCTCCGGGTCTCCTTCCACGCGCAGGCGAAAGTCGTCGTTCTCCTCCCTGCGGTTGCTCTGTGCCCGTAAAATCCGACTGCAGTAGCCGTCACCCTTCCCCACTCTGTCCGAGGGCTCCTCGGTGAAGGCGAACATATTGCACGCCGTGGAGGAGACGAAGCAAAGCAGCAGCACGGCGCGTAAACGCAGCCCGGTCGGATTCATGGTGGAGGTTTTCAGATGAGAACGAGATAAACGGGGGGAAAAATCCTGTTCTTTGTAGAGAAGGAAGGTTTGTCCTCAGCCTCCTACCCCGGTCCGGAATAAAAGAACCGACAACTTGCTGAAGTGAGGACTTGTGATGCGTTATGAGTGTAGATCCATCCTGTGAATTAAAGAGAGAGACAGAGAGAGAGTGAGTGAGAGAGAGAGAGAGAACACGGAGCAGGGTGCTCTTCCGTCCAGACCCTCTGCGCACTGAACTCCTCACCGAACTGTGCGCAGCTGCTCAGACTGAGCTGGATGGAGGCATGGCAGGGTCCGGGGAGATGGCCAGACGAGGGAGGAATGAGAGAATGAATGAAAGAGAGAAAGAATGAAAGAAAGAAAGAAAGAGCGGTGTTTCTGTCTCCAGGGCCACGGCTGCGAGTCAAGTAAAGAATACCCTGAACCAACACACTGAACACACACACTCACATTCCTAACAATCGACAAATGTGTGTGTGTGTGTGTACACAAACAGCACCCCAGACAAACAAAGAAATTAATAAAGGCTGTCAAAGTGTTGTCAGGGAGACTAATTCAACAAGCCCTTCACTCACCAATGTTGAATTCGTTAAGACTGGCTGCAAATTTAAACGTCATTTGATTAAATGTCATCACGTGTAGTGGCAGAAAACGAGCTTGATTAGAAATGCTAATTAATTCGAAAAAAACGGTATATGTTATTTATTGTCATCTGTCTTTTTCACATTTGTCCTGCATTGATTTAAAAAAAATCTATTCTGATAACAATGCTGTATTTGTACAATATCTTTGACCTTCACATGTTGAAGCTAAAAAAATACAAACGTAAAAATACAAGGTTAAAAATGTGAGTTTGTTGGAACAAAGTCGTAAATTTAAAGGTCCAAGTCACATTGAGGGTTAAATTACGAGAATAACTTCATAAATTTACGACACATTTCTTTTCATTTTGATTTTGTCCCTATAAATTTCCATTGTGACTTTAATTTAGTCTTTTTTTATCATTTCAATGTGACCCTAATACTCTGTCATAATAATCTCTCCACTTTGTTCGATCATTAATTCCCCAAAAAATCCCATAATATATTCACCTTATTATTACATTGTTATGGTAATTGGCACATTGTTTCACCCTATTATTACATTGTTATGGTAATTGGCAAAAAATAGATTCACGCTCATTTTTAGCACCCTCTATAGGAGAGGCAGGACAATGTGATAGTAAGAACGTGTTGGATTCTACACCTAAAGGAGAATGTGGTGAGAAGAGCAGCCATCATCAGATCATTTCACCATCAGAACACTGGGCTTTGTGCAGTGAGCAGAAAGAAAATCTGACTGAATATTTTTAAAGTAAGTTGTAACTGAAGACACCCTGGAGTTAGACAACTTATTTTCCACATTCTAGGAGAAAAAAAGTAACTGTAAAAAAAAAAGTTTGCAACTGTTTTTTTCTCCCGTACTCCTGATTCCCACATTGAAAGTTTAATGGCCTGGCATCACAATATAAAATCTGCTTAAATAATTTTTTGCTTGTGTTGAATATTTTAGAGGGAATTTTAAGTCATTTGTTTGGCAGTTGACAAAAATGTGTTTTAGAAACATTGAAGACATCTTAACATGTATTCCATAACCTTTTTGGAGCCACTCCATGTCACCAAACAAAAAATGTCCCAAAAGTAATGAACGGTACTCAGTATGAAATCTATGCCTGTTAAGTTGAACACGTCACTGATATACTCGCAGGAATTGAATTAAGACACACTTGAAGATCTCATCAACAGCTATGTGTTGCTCTTTTAGTAGTTTTCATAGCAGTCTGCTGCCATCAAGTGTTGAATCGTTCTGCCTGTCACTGACAAAGGCAAACTATTACAGCAAATCGTTTTCAGACCAATTAAGTAAAATTATGTGCAATTAAATGTTGATAAACTCGTTGTTTTCTGTTAATGAATTTCAAAAACTATGTGGGCACTCGTCGCCTTTTGTTATAGATCACATTAAACCATGACGATAAAGGGAACCAACCATGTAGTTGAAGGCTGTCGGGATGAAGACGAGTAAAAACAATGCCGTAACATCCAATGATAATTGGTTATTTAAGCGGTTCAAGGCTGCTTTAATCATCAATTATTGTCTCTTTGGTCGATGGGAGGTTCATTTGTTCTGCCTACCAACAGTAGACTTCATTTTACACAGTGCAGCATGCAGCACTGCATCTGAAAACTGACTGAAAAATAACTTAAAGATTCCCAGAGATTTTTGTTTGCTGGAATAAACCTAGTTATTTCTTGAAATTGCATATAATTGAGGCTTTTTGTTATGCACTGCGCCTCAAATCTTAGAGTGAAAAACCTGGCTCTTCACAATGGACTTAGAGATATACTGTACTGGGCAGAAACTGAGTGATGGCCATGGTTACGAAGTACATCATACCGTAGAACTATAGCAGAGAAAATTCCAACCAATGTACAATGACCTTTACTGCTGGCAGAAGTGTTGAGAATCCAATACTTACTTATTCTATTCACACATATTGATTTGCTTCATCCAAACACTTTCATGTTTTTTAATCCATGAATGAGCCACGAGATAAAAGAAGACCACAGAGCAGAAGAGGTTAATTCACACTTAGCTGACCAGAGATGTGAAGGCTAGTGTGAATTGATGGACTGACTGACAAAAAAAAAAAAAAATTTAATAGAAATTCTTTTTTTTAAGCATGATAGTGATATGACATGGCAAACTACTAATCGTAGAATTTTCTGAGCTAATTTTCTTTTTTGTCGTTTGTGTTGAATCTCAGAATTTTCTGAGCTAATTTTCTTTTTAATCATATCGAACTTTGGCTAATGAGGCTAACCTTAGTCTGCTGTCATGCTACTTTTGGATGGTGTGCGTAATTTTTTAAGATTTCACTTACTGAGTAAAAACTTGCAACATGTCATGTGGCTGTTTTGTTATGGTGAGCTTTGAGCTATTAGCAGGTGCTGTTGGGTCATGTGGCGTGGCTTTTGCTTGAAGTTAATTAGGGATCCAGAGTTCGTTGTTTATGCTTAACTGACCATAGGTGTAAATGTGAGTGTGAATGAGTGTGAACTGTCCAATCATTACAGGATTGGCATCAGCTTTCCTGGACGATGAAAAGACAAATGAAAATTTTCTTCTTTTTATTTCCCACTACTTCCTTACTTTTCTATTTCTTTGCTGCTTCTTCAGTGAATTGATTGCCTGTCACATCTTGACATAAGTAAAGTTGTCATACCCGTGTCAGGTAATAGAGCGTGTTTTATTTACTGTGACGTTTTCTAGAAAGATTCCAAGTTTATCTGGGTCTTAGGAAGGGTCAGCAGGCATGTAATGTGAATGTGAGGGTTTCTGATGGGCACTGACAAACAGAGAGTGGAGATGCTTTGTGCAACTACTGCTGCGTTGATGGATGTCTGATGCCGGAGAACAGGAGCAGAGTCTGAAAGGCGGAATGCTGCAGCAGCAGGTGTCATGAAAGCATTTCGTCCTCACAGGCCTGCTGAGATGAATCCTTTCACTATCTCCAATCCTCAGGTTACACTCCCTACCTTTCACAGTACTACGGCATACATCAAAACAAATTCAGCCAGACACGAGTAGCAAAGGAAGCAGCAGAGTGAAAACTATTGAGTTGTTACGCTATCTGACCAAAAAAAAAAAAAAAAAAAGAAATCAAAGACAGATTCAGAAATTATTTAGTTCTTGTTTGGAATCCAAAATGGGGAAAAGAGAGGAAAAGCTGCAAAAAATGGAATTGAGGTGAAGAAAAAAGCCAAATTTTTAAATCATACCGCATCATTTAAAAAAAAGAAATCTACTTTTATTGTTCTTTCCGTTTTGTTAGCAGTCTGCCTTTCCAACTACTCCAAGCTGCTGAGGTAAAGCTGGAGGTTGTGAACATATTGCATCAGCTGCACATTTGTGAAAAATGTCAAAGGAAGCAATGAGGAGAACAACGTTAAGTCATAGCTGACCTTTTTCAAAACAATTTGACGTCTGCCAGGTGATGCAGTAGAAATTTATGGTTTACAAAAGAAAATTTTAAAAAGTACAGCGAGGAAACAGAGTTTTAAACTGTTATAACTGGACCTTATTGAATGTAGTGAGTTCAGTGTAACAGCTGCGGTGCTTCCCTCTGTCTCTAATCTGCTGCATCCCACTCACCAATAAAAGACGGCTGTATATGGCCATGTAAAACAACTTATAAAATATACTCAATACCCTGGTCAATAACATGGAGAATATGAAACAGCTGTTTTTTCCAACTATATCACTTTTGTTTTCAAAACCTTTGGCAAAAGGTACTGAAAGAATAATAAATGGGAAGTTAAATCACATGTTAATGTTGGACCATCTTGGCTTTGTCTTCTTCAGATGATCTGTGAGTCTGGCAACACCATTACTGTCAGTGTAGTGACTCTTCTGCGTCATATAAAATAACACGTTTCCAGAAAGAGCAGGACATTAAAGACATTAATTGTCAACCCCGGTCTAGAACCTATGTACTATTATAAGTGAGTGGGTTTTAATTATAGGTTAAAAAAGTGTTCATAAAATGTTTAGTTGTTGCACAGACAGGATGATTATCATGTGGAAAGACAAGATACCAACGTCTATTTTAGGAACTGCAGCTTCTGTAGATACTGTATGTTAGGGACCGATTAACAACAGTAACTGTACAAGAAAATAGTCTTGGATACCGCTGTCCCTTTATTGTTTTGTTATTTGCTATTAGTATAATTTAGGCTGGCAAAAGTGAAACCAAATCCATCACTGATTTTCAGAGTAAACAACACAAATTTGATCTTTTTAATCTGCCCAAGGCCAAAATATATTGTTTGTTTGTTTTTTTAATTCCCCAACCTTTGTAAGATCCACACCTTCACATTTGGTATCATTGAAAAGCCCTGAACGTCCTCTGTAGATTGCAAAATGTTTTTAAAATAATTTTATTCAGTTGAATGCAGTTGGTGGGAGATATTCAGTTTTACAAATTAAAAACGCTGGTAGTCAGGAGGATGTATGGTCCTATATTGGAGATGTACCTGATGTATTTCAGAGTTACTAAGGCTGACTGGTCATAGGGCATTTGTGCTGGCTTTTTTAGGTTCCCCTACAGTTCTATTCTGGAACAGTGGGATCATGTTGAACCCAGTGACTGTAAACCGACCAAAACAGATGACAAGTCTGTGTCTCAAAAAAACTAAATCAATTCTGAATTGTCAATTTTCTTATATATTGCTATCACTTGTCAATTTCATAAACTGTTTATTGTAGATGGACCTCATTGTCTTGTTGTCTTATCGAACCATATAACTACTGTATGGGAGGTTTAAAAAAAAAAAAAAAGCAGTGAAGACAAGGGCAGATATGTCAAGGGCAGAAGCTCAGTTGGGTTCTGTAATTTTCACAGTTCTTTGCCTAGCAGAACCATTACTACTATTATTCTACCTGCGGGGTCTCACTTTCACAACATCATGAAAATGTTATTTCTTATCTAAGGTCGACTTTTCTGCAAAAATAAATGGGCAAAGAATATTGACTGTGTTGTCAAACCACTCCTTAAAACGTGCAATTAATATAAAGTGGAGTTGAGAACAGTATGTATAACCAAGAAGAAGTGTAGCTTGACACTAATTTTATCTATTGACACATTAAATTTCAAAAGTCCATTAAAAGCTTTGAAAATTTG